GTTACTATGAAAAAAAAAAAAAAAAAAAAAAAAAAAAAAAAAATTAAGAGAGGCCAGGCATATTCCTTAAGTATTTTGTCGGGTCAGAATATATTGGAGTTTGCATAATACAATAAGGCATACTACTATGCGGATAGCAGATTTATTGTAAAGCATTTTATAGGTATACTGGCAGTTTTTGAGGAGTGTAACCAGTGTAAACTGGCTTTTTAATCATTCAATCATACAAAACATAGGCCTACTACTGTTCATTCCCCGTATATATCATTTTCAGTCATCTCTATTTCGTCAATGGTATCGTCTGGATTTCCTTCATGCTGCTGACGATACTTCTTCTTTTTTGCCATGTCTACTTTTCCATAAAGTTGGGAAATGTCGTCTTCACTTAAAGCGCTGTCAGTGACTTTGTTGCCACTGGCATTGTCGCTTTTGGTAGCATCTAGTGACGTAAACTGAGGAACAACGTTGACGTCATCCATAGTGGAATAGGTGCCAAAACTTCGCCCGAAATCGGCTTTTAAATCTGCTCCATCATCGCGGTCAATACTTGCGTAAATTCCGCTTCCTATCATGTTGCTGTTTCTGTCTGAAACTCTGTACCCAGCATCGACGCCATTTGTGCCTCCTACCACGATGTTTTCATTCGTGACGTTATCAATTTCAGCAGATCCTGTTTGTGCTCCTTCGCCGTGTTTGGCCTGTTTTGAATCGTAAGCTGCCCTAGTTACCAATCCCTTGTAATAAGGACGAGTTTCTCTTTTCGGTGTCTGGGAAACCAGACCGTCTTCTGTCGCAACATGGTCATAGTAAGACCCAGCTGCCTCGTCGGTATATGGAACAGAGGCCTTGGTGATATGTGTATTAGTCTTTCTTTTCCTGAATTAAATGAGATATTGTTAAATACCTGCTTAGACCAAAGAGAATTTGAAGTTTAATTGGGTTAAAATGTTATCTAAACATACGACACTTGGAGGAGTTATAAAGCATACTTCCATGCTGCCAATCGAATTATTTTAAAAAATACCACAGAAGTCATGTTATAAGGATACGACTGATAGGTCCTATCAAAATTCACACCATAACGAATTGCGAAGATTCGATGGTAATGTTTTAAACTGATTTAAGTCTGATTACTGGAATTATAACATGCACAGGTAATCCTTAAGACAAATGGGCTCTTACCTCCTCCACCAAAAGCCGACGCCGACAGTTACCAAGATGATCACTAATAAACATCCGACAGCAATACCTGCTATCAACCCTGAAGTATATAGATACATATATGGTCGTCTCATTTCAGAAATATTTTCTACTACGTTATAGGCCCGTAGCCAGGGGGGTTCGGGGGGTTCAAAAGAATCACCCTTTTTACTAAGAAAAGGTCCACTCTGGGTAAAATTTGATCTATGTACATGAGGATTTTATGGCAAAAGATCCACTTTTTCAGGAAACGACCCCCCCCCCTCTCTGAAATTGCTGGCTACAGGCCTGCGTTAAATACCTTTTTTTTAATTCAAATATTTATTAATGCCTCTTAAGCTTATGTAAATATACAGCATCGGTCAAAAAGGTTGTCCCATCCCCATTTCCATGTACTTTTATTTACAAATGATCACCTTACAGCTGTTAATTGTTAGAAATAGTGTTTTTTTTATTACGTATACCGTGTCTAACATGATTAATGGTTTAAAAAATACAAAATAGTGGTGAAAATATACATATTTTATACCATTTAGTAAAATTTATAAGAGGTACCCCCTCAAATCGACTGTTTCACTGTGACTTCTAAAGATGTAAAGAAATGTCTATAAAATTGATAAGGTGCCATCAATAAAATTACCCCATGAAATAAATGATATATACTGAAAAATATGAAAGCCCACCAAGACGAGTTTCATACCTGTTATTACCTGGCTTGGGAATTGCAGCGGTGCATAATTAACAGGTTTTATTGTTAACGAGCTCTTGGTCAACTACAATGCATTTAAAAATGCATCAGCAATTAGTAAGCTTGCCAACTGATGACAGTCAATCTAAAAGACTATCAGCTTTTGATATGATCTAAAACACCTGAGGTGACCGAGATCGCGAGCATCCCAACTATTGTCACCGAAGTTAGTAAGTTAGTCACGGAAGACCGTCACAGACAAAGAAAGATAGTCAAGGAGTGCTGCAAATTTGGTGAATCCCACGGCAACACACTGAGGCATAAAGAAAATTGCTCAACTCCGTTCAACACAACTTTCCAAAATTATTCTGTCTGTTTGCACCATGCAGCTCAGTTAAGTCTCTTTATAACTTCTTGGTCTCATAGACCTTTATCCTCATTGTCGTCCCAGTACCACGTGACCCAGATCTGTTGCTTCGTTTATGCATATTGAGGTGAGGTTTACTAAAACGCTTTTTTACTACTAATGGATTGTTTTTATAATTTTTAAATGGCGGGGATCGATTAAAACATACCTCTAGTGTATAGATTGAGTGTTGAATCTTCAAAATTCGAGAAATGGGTTTTTATATGACTATTGTCCTTTAAGCAATAATGCTTTCAGTTTTATTATGATAAAGATCGGAAAATTTAATGACTTTATAAATACTCTTACCAGGAGACATCGGTTCAACTGTATTCTCACCAGTATGGGGCACTTTGGTACCTAAAATAGGAAAGGAGCCTTTAAAACATGATACATTGGGTATGCATGTTACGGACAGTTCATGTATCAGGTGTACAAAAGGGTGTGGTATTTTCAGTCATAACTCCCAGTTCAATATGTTATCTTATAGATGTCCTTGCACGTTGAAAACAGTATTTAAATATCCCGTATAAACTTTTTTATGACAATATTATTACCTAATACAATTCACAATAATATAATATGGTAAATAAACAGCTGTCAAAATATACAGGTTAAGAAAAGCAATAGTCATATATTTCATATGTTTTTGTTGAGAAACTTTACAAATTAAGAGCTAAAATCTTAAAAAGTGAAAAAAAAAAAAAAAAAAACGTGCACGCAATCTTAAACTTTTAACAAAGTCACTTTCAGAACCCACGTTCGATAAGCATTATTATTATTATTATTATTATTATTATTATTATTATTAGTGGTGGTGGTGGTGGTAATTAAATGAGATGTGATTTAAAATATTAAGAGAGAAATAGCAAACAAAATTGTGATTACTTAATATAATTCACTAACTCGTTAAGTTATAAAACGTGTTAACGCCATCAGTACTTCTAATGTTACTGTTTGTTTATATAAGAAAGAATACAATATAATATAATATAATATAATATGGTTAATAAACAGCTATCAAAATATACAGGTTAAGAAAAGCAAGAATCATATGTTTCGTATGTTTTTGATAAGAAACTTCACAAGTTAAGAGCTAAAATCTTAAAAAGTGAGAAAAACGTGCACGCCTTCAACTTTTACCAAAGTCGCTTTCAGATGCACACGTTCGATAAACATTATTATAATTATAATTATAATTATAATTATAATTTTTATTATTATTATTATTATTATTATTATTATTATTAGTGGTGGTGGTAATTGAATGAGATTTTAGAATATTAAGGGAGAAATTGGAAAAAATTGGAAACAAAATTGTGCAAGTCTTAAGAAATAGACATGGTATTGATCAAGGGCTGTATATTTATTAAGTTCGGGAGATCTTCTGATAAAAATTATTATTATTATTCTCATTTTGTACTTTTAGTTAGACGAGCACTATTGTTATTGGAGTTTGGAACAAAAATAAGTGGGAAAAGCTAGGGAGAAAACTTGTATACGTAGTTGGCGATGGATGTGGTAAAATGTGACAAAGGCGGTAATGTAATTAAATAGCCTCACGTATGTCAGTACCTTCTCTCACAGTGCCTGTCTCAGAGACTGCTGACGTCACATTTACGTCATCGGTCATAGAAGTGGGGGTAACTGAAGGGCCATCTGTAAGACAGGATACAAACCATTTAAGAAAAAAGGACCTACTACTTTTTACAAACAACGTGTATTGTTTTACTATATTATGTCAAAGTTGACGCAAAATTTAATTAGAGATAAAAAGCCGAACACGCCAGTACCTGTTATTGTTCTGTAATCTGTTGTTGGATTTAAAGTCACGATCTTGGTGGTAGGCATACTTGTCATGGGAACACCTATAAAGTAAAGTGGTAAAAAGGTTTTAATAAGAGGTTTGTCGAAGGATGTGGAACCCACAACACTTTAAAGAAAAGACAGAAGCATCTTTTAAGTGAACCTAGCGTTTTAAACTTAAAACGACGGAAGTGTTGGTCAGTGTAGTATTTATACAAGATAAAGAACAAGGAGGGTAAACTCCGATTTCGCCAGCCTCTTGATGCACACTGAAATTGGGGCATAGGTGAGCTCAGCACCTGTGCTTTTATTCATGGGCACATTATGGCACGAAGAAGTATATAGTTTCTCGGTTCATATGCAATTTGAAGTGAAGTTCAAAATACTCAACGTACGTCCGTCTTGGAAATTCAACTCCCTAAGCACAGAATCGTACGAGACAGTTCCTCACCCTACCCTAGGTTCTAGATTTCAGTATTGCCAGCTTGATCTTGTTTTCATATGTAACCCATATCAGCAATACTGACTACTGTTAAGCTCTCCATGCAAAGGTATGAAAAGTGAGCAAGCTAGCTTTATAGTATTCTGACACTCAGGGCACCTCACCCCTGTGTCACATATAGATGTAGGCAAGTAGTGGTCGTTATTAAAGGTTTATTCGTAGCATAGCTAAGTAATTTGCATCAAAGTTTACCATGTACGTTTTTGAGCGTGTATGTGGAGGTTGTTGAGTAAAGTTGAACCGATATTAATAAGATATGAATAGCTTCATTTATTGAAAAAAATAGTTAAATTCAGTTGTGTCTTTCTTTACCCGATGTAACTGGACGATTTCCTTCAGTTGACAAAGTTGTTGCTCCTGCAATGAAAAGTACTAAGCTTTAAAACTAAGGAAACTTTTAAATCACAAAACTACTTTGGGCTCAGCTGTGTTATGTTATAAGAATATAAGTATATTTTTCTTCAAATAACAGCTAAATATTGAAATTGTAATCCCTGATAAAGATGATCTTATAGGCATCTAAAAATTGTAGGTAAACAATTTCAATATTAAGCTGTTGAATGAAGAAAAAAATATTTTATACTTTAGAGCTGAATTCTGTCACTGAATTGCGTTCCTGTAAATATACATATGCGTCAGTGCATCAGTTTTGCGAGATAACTATTCGAGCGCAAAGCCTTTAATATCTTTTTGCGAGTGTTTCAAATTTCTATAACATTCTTCGTTTGTTTTCTGGTTGTATTTAAAAAATCTGAGATCTTGGATGAATGTTTTAAACATATTTTCTGCAACAGACTGGCTCACCTAGTGGATATTCACAAATATATGGCAGCGTCTTGCTGCAATCTTTCATCACCCAGCTTTTGGTGACGTCACTTGCAGCTCCTTCCAGTGCAAGACACGCTGGTCCTCTGTTATATGGTGGATACATGATCGGTCTCCAAAACATCAAGTTAATGGGGTCATCCGTGTCACCTGTAACAATGCTGTTTAATTATTCATTCATATTATCCTTATAACTTATTGATATTAGCAAGTGACTCAGTGGTGGAGTTAGTAACGTAAAAATTGACGACACTATATAGCCTGTTGAAACTTCGAAACATTCCTACCAAACCTGCGTTGGAAATGCAAAAGTAATAATAATAGTAATAATAATAATAATAATAATGACAGCCCTAACACTTCCCTTACCGTCCACCCATCTCCATTCACTGTGCACCAATCCGATCCAATAATACTGCAGCTCACTGTTTTTGTTTAGTCTATTTTCAACCTTTTTCTGCACTGTGTCGTTGTCTATCTTCAGAAGTTTTCCTCCAGCTTCTCTGCATAACCAGTGACCCTCAAACCAAGTGGCTCTTTCAGATGGAATACTGATGAAAACACATGTGTCGTTCTTTATATCTGTCCACCTGCTGTTGTTCTGAATCCAGCGGAAATTATGACTGCCTTTGCATACTGCGGTACTCTGGTCTGAAAATGTAGAACTTACATGTATAGATATATGTAAAGCAGGATATTTGTAATTTAATGAAAAACATCATTATTAAATATTATTTTAACGGAAAAATGTTAATAAAATAAAGTTTATAAAAGTTTATAATTATAAAGAGTTAATGCGGGTCTCTCACATGTTTTTTTCAGTCTACATTTCATGTCTGTCCACATATATGGACTTGAAATAGCCGTTTCTTTTTAAATCATGATTTAAATATCTTATGGCGGTAGCTTTACCTGCTTCACATATGACACCAGAGTCCTGTGTTTGCAAGTGTTCTCTGTCCACCCATGGAAAAGTCTCTGGGGTGTTATTAACCCTCATAAGAGCTACTGCAGGCTGGTACTTAAATCCATTATTGGTATCTGGTTGTTGTCCTATATACGGAAATTTCTGTGAGCCGCTCCAGTTCGTGAATGTTGTTGCTGAAAAAGAGATGCGTTTGAAGACTGTTGTTCAGGTATTTGTGGCGATGTGATGTGATGTCTTATATAAGGTTACACCCAAACAAGGATGTATATTGAATATACGTCCTTGCACCCAAATAAATGCACATGGCAAAACGTAGTGCGTGTGAGGTGTGGAGAGAGAGAGAAAAAAAAGAGAGAGTGGGTTCTTTTTAACTTAGTTTTCTATACGTACTATTTAACGCACCCTCCTGGTCTATCCACATCCAGTCTGTTAAATTCACTTCCTTGCCGCCCAGCCAAACTACTGACGATGTCAGTTTATGCAGAAATATTTGGGTGTTATTGTCCTTAACAACAGCCAGTTTACCGTTGCAAGTATTTTTACAATGTTCCATGGCGCTTTGCCACATCATTGCTTCAGTGTTCAAATGGTAACATGTACTGTTACGACAACCTGAAAGACAGCATATATATGTATATGTATGACTCGGCATATATAACACATCTTAGCCAGTAGTAATACTATCAATCAGGCATCTGAAAATATAATCTGAATATCAAAAATTATTATTGCTTAGTTTTTTCTGAAGTCAAATTAATGTATTTTTGCGAATAAAATTGAGACGAATTCGCACAAAACCTACTGTTCCCTTTCCAAAAAGTAGGCCCTGTATGTTTGATGCCGGAAAAACACAAAACTTTTAAAGCCCATCCATAGTTTGCAAATTGATTAAACTCGTAAGTATTTACCTCAAATATATACAGTATATTGTTAGATATAAACCTTTTTAATGTAAGCTGTCATTGCGGAATTATAAAGTGAAAGTATCGCTGGCTCAAATTAAGAATGACTCACGTTACTTTTATCTGGAGAGAGAATACCAGCAAAGACATAAACATTGTAGGTATATAAACCTCACAAACGAAATTTGTGCAAAATTGTTTGTAAATAATAACTTTAGCTGACTCGTTACATCATAGTTTTTAGTATGATGAGTCTTATTGAATATTTGATATGTATTTTTTTTTATCCCTAAGGCCATTACATCTTAATACAGGCAACAGTTTGTTACATTGTTATCGTTGTTAAAATGGTTAGGATAGTGGGGTTAAATAATAAAAGCGGCCTTGTTTGGCCAAATCTCGAACAATCGGTATTCTTTGTTGCTTTCTTTCTTGTTGTGAATGTGACTATAAAATTACAGTATTGGTACACTGGGATGGAGGAGATATAAAATAGCACTTACTGCAATTACGTTCTCTCTGTGAGAGGTGGTATATACGTTGTGGGTTTTATGGGCCCAGATTAGCCGTATTACTGCTCAGGTAAGAAGGTATTCATTTGGGCGTGGTGCGTGGTTAGAATAGGAGTAGCTGTCACACGAATGGGTTAAAGGTTCACATGAGAAGTAGAGTAGTTTCTAAGATTCTTGTTTGACTAAAATACAACCCCACCCACCCGTGTGTACACCTTTGTGGCTGCTGTAGTTTACTAGTTTGATATCAAATTGATGTAGTTTGATATAAAATTAGTGATTATTTAAGAGCGTTAATATTTGGGCCCTATACTCGCACCTTGTATCATGGTCACGTTAAAGCTCACACAATCAGCTGAGCACACGAGGTGTTAGGACACAAAAGAAAGAGTTATATACTCGTACAAGGTCCTCACTCCCATGTTACACCATAGTTCAATGTATTCTACTTACTGCTTCCTGTTACATTACAGCCCTGTACACTATCCAGGAGTGAGAGAACGATCATCAGCACAGACAACATTGTTATTGTACAGCCAGCCATGTTACATAAAGTTACTCCTGCCATCTTGTGTCCGTCTACACCTGTATGTCAAGTCATGGTCCTCATGATTTTCTCTTCCGCCTTCCAACACTGACTCACTTAAATCAGGATAAACAGCAAGCATTACGTACTTTTCTTACTTCTCTTTTTGTGTATATAAATGCAGAGCGAGTGGATAAAAGACTAACAAAACACCTCTGCGTACTTCCTTTATAGTGCGGGAATTCAATACCTATTCTCTCGGGTGTCGGAGGGGGCTATGATATACTTTATTGACGATTTGCAATTTAGGTTAACTTCATATGAGGTTACTTTAACAACTGCGAGTCAGGGTAAAGCGTTCGTGTTGACACTACAGATTAACACCGGATCTGTGAAAAGAAGCTAAATCACGTTTGGAATTATGACTGTTACAAGTGATAAATTCCGACTGAAGATTTCTTTTGGAATTACTGCACCGTCAGTCTCCCCTTTCAAGTTCACACCCACAGTCGTGCACACGCATGGACGCGCACGCGCACGAATCGCGAATATTTGTTGAAATGTCACGAAGTCGTCAACAAACAGTGCAAGGAATCTGTTCATCTTGACATGAAGGGACTTGATCTATGACCTATGACGTGACTATTTCTGCAGCCGCAATATAGGTTACACTAATACAGGGTTACTTTTACAATGTTAAATCGAACCGTGCTCGCATTGATAGGTCTTCTTCAAATAACGGACAGAAGCTTTAACATATGTGGAAGTTATTATTACAAATGTAAAAAAATACCACATGGAAATGTCTTTTGGAGTTCCTTTTCTGTCCGTCTTACGATGCGGTGTATAGGGCTCTTCCTGGGCCGGGATGATCCCATTTTTACAGAGAATTTATCATCGATACTTATAAATAACCATGAATGAAATCAGATTTCTTATGGTGCTATTATGGGCCCTTTCAGAACAAGTTGATCCACGGACTTACTTATCCGAGATCAAATATGGTCGACCCAGTTAAAAACAATGCCGCATAATCCCCTCATGGACTCCCCGCCTCCCTCACGCCCCGTCCTTGGAGGGACACAAACGTTTAATCCCCACTTCGATAAGGGCACAATTCGTTATTATGCTGATGTTTGCCTTGTTCCCTACGCCTGATAATGGAATTACGTGGTATTTATTTCCATGGGCTGATGATGGTTATCAGCAATAGCCAAGACCCAATTAGTGGCTAAGATAATCGTTAAGACGGGGGCCCTGTGGTCGATCACCAGTTTAATTGACAGTGTGGCGAAGTGCGGGGAAATGCGATGGCTATGCCCAGGGGCGGATCCAGGATTATTTAAAGGGGGGTCCGCAGATGCGAAGCCGACCCCCCCCCCCATCCCCCTTGGCGTGGGTATTTTAGAGATTCGGCTAGTCAAAATTCTAATTTCAAGAGGAGACCAGATATCGAAAGGGGGGGGGGGGGGGGTTTAGTGGTTGCTATAAACAATAAAAGAATAAAGAGAGGCCAGGCATATTCCTCAAGTAGTCTAAAGTGTTTTGTCGGGTCAGAATATGCTGAAGCTTCCATTATACGATAAAGCACACTACTATGCGGGTTACAGATTTATTGTAAAGCATTTCATAGGTATACTGGTGATTTTGAGGAGTAAAAGTATTAGCTGGCCTTTAAATCCTTTGATCTCCTAAAATACAAAAGAAACTACTGCTCATTCCCCGTATATATCATTTTCTGTCATCTCTATTTCGTCAATGGTATCGTCTGGATTTCCTTCATGCTGTTGACGATATTTTTTCTTTTTTGTCTTGTCTACTTTTCCATAAAGTTGGGAAATGTCGTCTTCACTTAAAGCGCTGTCAGTGACTTTATTGCCACTGCCATTGTCGCTGGACGGAGGCTCACGTCCCATGCCTTCGGTAGCGTTTATTGACGTAAACTGAGGAGCAACGTTGACGTCATCCATAGTAGAGTAGGTGCCAAAACTTCGCCCGAAATCTGCGTTTAAATCTGCTCCATCATCGCGGTCAATACTTGAGTAAGTTCCGCTTTCTATCATGTTGCTGTTTCTGTCTGAAACTATATGCCCAGCACCGACGCCATTTGTGCCTCCTACCACGATGTTTTCATTCGTGACGTTGTCAGTTTCAGCAGATCCTGTTTGTGCTTGTCCGCCATGTTTTGCCTGTTTTGAATCGTAAGCTGCCCTAGTTACCAATCCCTTGTAATAAGGACGAGTTTCTCTTTTCGGTGTCTGGGAATCCAGACCGTCTTCTGTCGCAACATGGTCATAGTAAGACCCAGCTGCCTCGTCGGTATATTGAACAGAGGCCTTGGTGATATGTGTATTAGTCCTTCTTTTCCTGAATTAAATGAGATTTTGTTAAACACCTGCTTAGACCAAAGATAATGTGAAGTTTCATTGGGTTAAAATGTTATCTAAACATATGACATTTGAAACTGTTATAAATTATGCCTCCATGCTGCCAATCGAATTCTTTTAAAAAATACCACAGAAGTCATGTTATAAGGATAAGACCGACAGGTCCTATCAAAATTCACACCATAGCGAATTTCGAAGATTCGATGGTAATATTAAACTGACTTAAGTCTGATTACTGGAATTATAACGTGCACAGGTAATCCTTGAGACAAATGGGCTTTCTTACCTCCTCCACCAAAAGCCGACGCCGACAATTACCAAGATGATCACTACTGAACACCCTCCTACAGCAATACCTGCTATCATCCCTGAAAAAAATATAGATACATATATGGTTGTCTCTTTCAGAAGTATTTCACAAAAATATTTTACAGAAATACTTTCTAATACGTTAAATACTTTTTTCTATTCAAATATTTAGTAATGCCTCTTAAGGTTATGTAAATATATAAAGTGCCTGCACTTTTAATTTTATTTTATCAGAGGTGAAAATAAAAGCTAAATGTAAAAATTCAGTTTGCTCGAGTCAATTTTGATAAAGTGTAATTATCTAGATACTCATCTGCATGCACCACTGAGGGACTGCAGTGATATGGGTAATAGTTGTTTAGCTATCCATTTGATGTATTGGGTTATTAACAATTTAAAAAAATTCACATTAAACAATAATCGTACAATGAAATCAGTCTGATTATGATAAAGATCAGAGGAATTTATGACTTTATAAATACGCTTACCAGGAGACATTGGTTTACCTGTATACCTACCAGTATGGGGCACTTCAGTACCTAAAATGGGAAAGGAGCATTAAAAACATGAGGCATTGGATATGCATGTTACATATCTGGTATACAAAAGGGTGTGAGATTTTCCGTTATAACCTCCAGTTCAATATGTTATCTGTAGATGTCCTTGCACGTTGAAAACACTATTTAAATATCCCATATAAATTCTTTTTATGGCAATATGATTATTTAATATAATTCACTAACTCGTAAAGTTATAAAACATATTTACGCCACCAGTACTTCTAATGTTACTGTTTGTTTATATAAGAAAGAATAAATGAATAATATGATATGATATGGTTAATAAACAGCTATCAAAATATACAGGTTAAGAAAAGCAAAAGTCATATGTTTCGTATGTTTTTTTTAAAAGAAATTTCACAAATTAAGAGCTAAAATCTTAAAAAGTGAAAAAACGTGCACGTAATCTTCAACTTTTACCAAAGTCACTTTCAGATGCACACGTTCGATAAGCATTACTATTATTATTATTATTATTATTATTATTATTATTAGTGGTGGTGGTGGTAATTGAATGAGATTTAAAAATATTAAGAGAGAAATAGCAAACAAAATTGTGAAAGTCTTAAGAAGAAATAGACATGGTATTGATCAAGGGCTGTAGGCCTATATTTATTAAGCTCAGGAGATCTTTTGATGAAAATTATTATCATTATTCTCATTTTGTATTTTTTAGTTAGACGAGCGCTTTTGCCAAAGCTTGGAACAAACATAAGTGGGAAAAGCTGGGGAGAATATTTGTACACGTTGTAGGCCATGAATGTGATAAAATGTGACAAAGGCGTGAATGTAATTAAATAGCCTCACGTATGTCAGTGCTTCCTCTCACAGTGACGGTCTCTGTTATTGCTGACGTCACATTTACGTCATCGGTCATAGAATGGGTGTTACTGTAGAGCCATCTGTAACACAGGACACAAACCATTTTAGAAAAAAGGAGACTACTACTTTTTACGAACAACGTGTATTGTTTTACTGTATTGCGTTCATTTTTAAACAAAATTTAATTAGAGATAAAAAGCCGAACACGCCAGTACCTGTTATTGTTCTGTAATCTGTTGTTGGATTTAAAGTCACGATCTTCGTGGTAGGCCCACTTTTCATGGGAGCATCTATATAGGAAAGTGGTAAAAAGTTCTTAAAAAGAGGCTCGTTGAGGGATGTGGAATCCACAAATCTTTTAAGAATCAACAGAGGACTGAGGCAACTTTTAAGTGAATTTGGTAGTTTTTAAACTTGAAACGACTTGGTTTTAGTCAGTGTTTTAGTCAGTGTTTTATTCATAAAATGATTAAAGAGGCAAAGGATAATTTCCTAACCCTCTATCCTATACATGTAGTAGGGGAGTAGTTGTCAACGAAGGGACATTAGTAGTATAGCAAGGTAATTTGCATCAAGATTTACCCTGTACGTAATTGTGTATGTAGAGGGAATTTTAAATGAAACTAATAACAAGAACGTTTCAGAAGCTTCATTTTAAAAAAATTAATTCAATTCAGTTGTCTTTCATTACCTGATGTAACCGGAGGACCTCCTTTCGCGGACGTAGTAGTTGACCAAATTGTTAGGTCTGAAATAAATAGTATGTAATAGATAGACCCCGAGTCAGCGAGGGTTATGTGGCATGCACGAGTGCGTAGCACGAGTGGATGTCACATAACCCTCGCTGACGAGGGGTCTATCTTATTTAGACCACGGGTCCATGAACGGGTTATAACGCATTCATGCGAGACGTGCGGTTATGCGAGTTACACCACGTCTGAGTCTTTTGTTCTTCACTTCCACCGTGGTCTAATAAATATATAAATCAAAAATCAGAATGTTTTAAAACTAGGGAAATTTGTAAATCACAAAACTACTCTGGTGATGAATTCCATCGCTTAAAGGGATACTTTCTTCATGTAATTCAAAATTACACAATAAATACATTGTAAACAACACATAGTGGTATAATAAATTCCAATTTACCAGCGAAACTGCGGTTATAGCAATAATTCTGAAATCCATCCTTGCCATCGGACCACGTGGACTTTCGTAAATAGCTTTCTTTACATGTCAGTGAATCAGTTTTTCGTGATAGCTAATCGATAGAAAAGCATACGCTTCCTTTATCTTTTCGCCAGTGTTTCAAATGCCGATAACAGTTTTCGTTTGTTTTTCTAACTGCATTTTTTGCATTTCTCTTAGATCTTGGGTGAATATATATTTTAGCAATATAGACTGCCTTACCTAGTGGATATTCACAGATAAATGGCAGTTTCTCGCTGCATTTTTTCATCACCCAGCTTCTGGTGACGTCACTTGCAGCTCCTTCCAGTGCAAGACACGTTGGTCCTACGTGATGTGGTGGATACATGGTCGGTCTCCAAAACATCAGGTTAATGGGATATTCTATAATAATATCAAATATATATTCGTATTATACATATTATCCTCATTAATAATTTTAAATTTGCAAGTGACTTAAATGTGAACTTTTAAAACTAACGGGGAAATAGTAATTGACGATACTACAATTATGTATGCATAACCTCTTGAATTCTTCGAAACTGTTTCTATCGGAAATACAAAAAAATTATAATAAATAAATAAATAAAAGAAAAAAAATGACGTCCAATAATCAGTTTTTGAAAAAGTAATGTCAACAAGCACATGGACTTTATATGTTCTGTTCAAGGGCGACGCTTATCAAAAGGTCGCTACAGTTTTGTTTAGTCGAAGGCGCAAATGAACATGTTTTATTGCTTTTTTAATATAGAAAATATAATGGACTGATAGTCCATGCCAGTACCAAATTGATAAACAACTTCAGTCATTATTTAAAATTTGGCTAAGGCCTGTTTCATATCAAATTAATCCCTTTAAGTACATTTGGACAACTTGAATAAACATGTTATTCAATTACCATCAACATACTGGGTTTAAAAAGATGTTTGGAAAAAAGCAATGAAATCAACTCAATAAAATAGTACGTATACCGTCTAAAGACAGAAAATTATTAGCTTAGTTCCAACAATCCCTTTTTAAAATTTTAAATAGCTCCACACTGACAGTCCTAAAACTTCCCTTACCGTCCACCCATCTCCATTGACTGTGAACCAATCCAATCCAATAATACCGGGGCCCACTGTTATTGTTTAGTCTATTTTCCAAGTTTTTCTGCACTGTGTCGTTGTCTATCTTCAGAAGTTTTCCTCCAGCTTCTTTGCATAACCTATGACCTTCAAGCCAGGTCACCATTTCAGATTGGATACTGATAAAAACACATGCGCCACCCTTTATATCTGTCCATCTGCTGTTGTTTTGAATCCACTGGAAACTATGATGACCTTTACATAATTCGCTTTTCTGGTCTGGAAATGTAGGACTTAGTCTGTATGTAAAGCAGAGTATTTGCACTTTCAAGAAAGAAACATTCTGTTTTAACGTAAAAAGTTAATAAATCAATAAAGTTTATATGAATAAATATACAGAGTTAACAATACTGATATACCATTGGCTTTTTCAGTCTATTTTTCTTGCATTATATAAACAGAAGTTTCACGTTCAAGCACATATGTGGACTTAAAACTAAATATCGCAGTTCTCTTTTGCTTCTAATTTAAGTATCCCAGGACGGCAGCTTTACCTGCTTCACAGATGACACCAGATTCCTGTGTCTGTAAGTATTCTCTGTCCACCCAAGGGAACTTGACTTGGGTGTTATCAACCCTCATTAGAGCTACTGCAGGCTGGAACTTTTGTCCATGATATGTATCTGGTTGTTGTGCTATACCAGAAGATTGACCTCTCCAGTGCGTATATGTTGTTGCTGAAAAAGAGATGCGTTTACACTGCCGTTAAATGCCATCACTACAAGTGCTTGTGGCAGGGTGGGGGATTTACTTGATCAGTGTCTTGGATAAGGGTACACCCAAATGCATGTTTATTGCAGAATCTAGTGCGTGTGAAGAATATGCATGGTACCGCGGAGAGAAAGAGAGAGGGGGGTCATGACAATCAATTTCCTAAACATACCATGTAACGTTCCCTCTTGATCTATCCACATCCAGTCTGTTAAATTCACCTCCTTGCCACCCAGCCAAACCTCTGATGATGTCAGTTTATGTAGAAATATTTGGGTGTCATTGTCTTTAACCACAGCCAGTCTACCGTTGCAAGTATTCTTACAATGTTCCATGGCGCTCTGCCACATCGTTGCGTTAGTGTTCACAAAGTAACATTTTCCATTATGATAACCTGAAAGACAACACAAACATGTACATGTATGACCTACTACTCCCTTTCAAAAGCGTCAAACGTTTGCTCACCCATTGTTTGTAAATCGACTAAACTCGTATTTACTTCAAATATATACGGTATATTGTTAGATATAAACCTTTTACGCTTCGAGCATCGGCAGCATTTTTAATGTAGGCTGTCATTGCGGAATTATAAAAGTGAAAGTATATCGCTGACTCAAAGAATGACTTACGTTACTTAAATCTGGAAACAGGATATCCAGCAAAATCATAGAAACTGTAGGTGTCCGAAGAGGCAACCCCACAAACGAAATTTGTGCAAAATTGTTTGTAAATAATAACTTTTGCTGACTCGTCACATCATAGTTTTTAGTATGATGAGTCTTATTGAATATTTGATATATATATTTTTTTATCCCTAAGGCCATAACATTTATTACAGGCAAGAATTTGTTACATTGTTATTGTTATTAAAATGGTTAGGATAGTGGAGTTAAATAATAAAAGCGGCCTTGTTTGGCCAAATCACGAACAATCAATTTTCTTTGTTGCCTTCTTTCTTGTTGTGAATGGGACTATAAAAGTTTATGGCACACTTGGATGAACTGCAATTACGTTCCCTCTGTGAGAGGTGGTATATGTGTTGTACTGGTTTTACAGGCCCAGATTAGCCGTATTACTGCTCAGGTAAGGAGGTTTTCACCTGGGCGTGGTACGTGGTTAGAATATGAAGACTTGTCAAGAATGGGTTAAAGGTTTACATGAGAAGTAGAGTACTTTTGAAGACTCTTGTTTGACTAAAATACAGCCCCACCCACCCATGTGTACACCTTTGTGGCTGCTGTAGTTTACTAGTTTGATATCAAATTGATGTAGTTTGATATAAAATTAGTGATTATTTAAGAACGTTAATATTTAGGCCCTATACTCGCACCTTGTATCATGGTCACGTTAAAGCTCACACACTCAGCTGAGCACACGAGGTGTAGGAGACAAAAGAAAAGAGTTATATACAAGGTCTTCACTCCCAAGTTACACCATAGTTCAATGTATTCTACTTACTGCTTCCTGCTACATTACAGCCCTGTACACTACCCAGGAGTGGGAGAACGATCATCAGCATAGACAATATTGTTATTGTACAGCCAGCCATGTTACATAAAGTTACTCCTGCCATCTTGTGTCCGTCTACACCTGTATGTCAAGTCATGGTCCTCATGATTTTCTCTTCCGCCTTCCAACACTGACTCACTTAAATCAGGATAAACAGCAAGCATTACGTACTTTTCTTCCTTCTCTTTTTGTGTATATAAATGCAGAGCGAGTGGATAAAAGACTAACAAAACACCTCTGCGTACTTCCTTTATAGTGCGGGAATTCAATACCTATTATCTCTCTATACTTTATTGACGATTTGCAATATAGGTTAACCTAAATATGAGGTTACTTTAACAATGGCGAGTCAGGGTGAGTTCGTGTTGAAACTACAAATTAACACCGGATCTGTGAAAAGAAGCTAAATCACGTTTAGAATGATGACTGTTACAAGTGATAAAACACCACCTGAAGATTTCTGTTGGAATTCCTGCTCCGTCAGTTCAAGTTCACACCCACAGTCGTACGCACGCACGGACGCGCACGCGCACGCGCACGAATCTCGAATATTTGTTGAAATGTCACGATGTCGTCGACAAACAGTGTATGGAATCTGTTCATCTTGGCGTGAAGGGACCTGATCCATGACCTGTGACGTGACTATTTCTGCAGCCGCAATATAGGTTACTCTAATACAGGGTCACTTTAATAATGTTAAATCGAACCGTGCTCGCCTTAATAGGTCGAGATCTACTTCAAATCGCGGACAGGAGCTTTAGCATACGTGGAAGTTATTATTACTAGTTTTAAAAAATACCACCTGGAAATTTCTTTTGGAGTTCCTTTTCTGTCCGTGGTGTAGGGCTCTTCCTGGGCCGGGATGATCCCATTTTTAAAGATAATTTATCATCGATACTTATAAATAACCATGCATGAAATCAGATTTCTTATGTCACTATTATGGGCCCACTCAGAACAATTTGATCCACGGACTTACTGATCCGAGAATCAAATATGGCCAACCAATTTAAAACAATGCCGCATAATCCCCTCATGTATTCCCCGCCTCCCACAAGCCCCGTCCTAGCAGGGGCACAGCAATTTAATCTCCACTGGCATAATTCACTATGGCCGCATTCAGAACAGCGCACTAACTAGTCCACAGGTCAAATATGGCCGACTCACGTGAATACTCCCCCACGGAGAATCTATCCAGTGTCTATTAGCGGATAAGACGGTAAGCTTTTAAGTGGGTCGCCATATTTGTTCTGAATGCAGCCTATTATGCTGATGTTTGCCTTGTTCCCTACCCCTGATAATGAAAGTACGTGGTATATGTTTCCATGGTCTGATGATGTTTATCAGCAATAGCCAAGACCCAAGTTGTGGCTAAGATAATTGTTGAGATGGGGGCCCTGAGGGCGATCACCAGTTCAATTGACAATGTGGCGAAGTGCGGGGATATGCGATGGTTATACCCATCAATAATATCTAGTTTCACTACCAAGTCTAAGGCAGTTAACGAAGCAAATGAATCGGGCCGTTTGAAAATTTAAAAACGATTTATTGAGGAAATTTACATTATTTTGACTGAACGGTAATTGTGAAGCCAATATAAAACGTCGTGCAAAGTATGTAGAATATGATAGGAAAGTTAGCTGTAGTTGATATGGTTTACATATAGTGTTTAAGCAAACAAATAAAACCCAGGCAGCAAAGGCTGTCAACTGTTAAACAGCAGATAAGAAGGAACGATGTAATTTTTCTTCAGTCAACAGAAAAAAATCATGCATAGCCTTGAGATAATATTGAGATTTAAAAAAATCTTTCCTCCAATATTTCGATGTCTAGCAGGACATCCTCATCAGGGAATAAGGCTATCCAGAAGAACAGGGGCCAGTCTCAACAAAATGATGGTGCCATCTTCCCTGACCTCTACCTCCCTTTCCTAAGACAAGAGGTGGGTGGGGTGCAAGTATACCTCCTGAATAGAGGCTATTCACCTGGATAGCCTCTATCCCTGAAGAAGATGTTCTGCTAGACATCGAAATATTGGAGGTAAAAATCAATTAAAAATAAAAAACCGCAATATTTGCTGTTGACTGAAGAAAAATTACATCATTCTTATAACATAACTCAGCCGATGAAATTCTTCTCAGTTAAGAAGGCTGTTAAACAATAAAACACCCATCGGGCTGATAGGTTATATCACAGAAAATTTGAAGCCTTACAGAGTTTTTGCTTCCCAGATACATGTATCGCAGCAATATGTTTATGAAAAAGCGAAATAATAATTATAAAAATAAAAACAATTAAAACAGCAGACCTAATTCTAAGGCATTTCACGTTATACATAGAGGAGTAGTGAAAAATATCTGTTTATGAAAATTAAAGAAAACGATGAACGAGAAATACCGAAAAGGCGTAACAATACAAATGAATGATGGTTAAAAAATACACGAAAAATACTTTCAAAAGATTGTAAAATATTACAGAGAAAAGTCGTTAGGTTATTATAAATAAATAAAAGCACTCTTCGTGATCAAACAAACAGAAATAAAACATTGTTCTCGCGAGTCCAAACAAACAGAAATAAAACATTGTTTTACGGGAGTCTGATCGTGTATCGATTGCAAAGGATCTCGTACTCGTAGTGCTGATTTTCATGAGGAAAATGTTAGTCTGGCTCAAAAAATAATTTGCTGTCTTGTTATGTTGATTGTTATGTACTTATGCAGCCAGCTGCTTACATCCGTGCAAATCATTTCCATCCATCTCTTTTGTATATGCTATTGTATGAACATTTTTGTTTTGGCGATTTTTTTCTTTGTTTCTTTCTTTCTTTTTGTGATATGAGTTGGAGATGTCTTTCTTCCTCATTTATCCAACTATCACTGGCTTTATCGCCAGACGGAGGTTCATATCCTACTTAAGCGCCGTGGACTGCAGGGGATCGTGGATATCTTCTATATTAAAGTAGGTGCCAAGCCTCTGTGCTCAATCACCGTTTACTTGTTATTAACTTGCCTCAGTTGTATTACCGATAACGTCGCCGTTTCTGCCTGCAATATTGGGGAAATTTGTATAAACGGCATCGTTGCCATTTATACCTTCTAACATTGGGTTATCGTAAGTGCCGTCAACTGATTCTGCTTGTGATGATGCTTGTTCGTCTTGTGTATCAGGAGATGCTGTATTATGTACCAATTCCTGGTAAAAAGGGTCACTTTGTCTTCTTAGTCTTTCGTAATTCATACCGCATTCTACTGCAACAATATCGTCGTAAATCCCGTTAAGCCTGGCGGTATAGTCATCAGAGGCTTTAGTGATGTGTTCCAAAGGTTTTCTTGAAAGAAAATTTGAAAAATATCTCAAATCTGCATTAAAAATAAACAGTTAGTAAACATAGCAGTTATAAAAGACGTCTGAGAATTTGAAATTCTACATAACACATTTCGACACTGTTCATTGAGTTTTTTAAATATGAAAAATGCCTCAAAGTTATGTTATTAGGATGTCAGAATTTAATTTAAAAAAACCCCAAACACTAACCTTTTATGCTTAGGAGTTTAGATGGATTCACTAAAATATGGTTACTCTACTTATACGAGCCACAGGTAAGATACAGAGAAGTACACATCTTACCTTCTCCAAATAACGACGCCGGCAAAAGCTAAAATGGTCACTATTGGAATTCCGCTAAGTGTAACTACTACTATTAAACCTGAAATAGATAGTTAATTTATTTCAGTTATGTATTGAAAGGGGGGGGGGGGGTTCTTGATGCATACGCTGTACTGAATAGTAATTTTTCTGTTCAGATACTATTTTAAGGACTGTTGCGAAAATACTAGATATATTTGAGCTGTTGCATGTATATAATAAATAAATAAATAACTCGTTTTGATATGTAAGCTTGGCTTATATTGAGCCTACTTATAGAAATAAAGACGTGACAGAAAAGTTACAAACAAAAATCTCTTACACGAAAGTATACATCATTATCTTTCAACAAATTAAGATCCCGTGTAATTTGGCGATAAAAACAAAATTGCTGAATTTTCCAAAATACCCCTTTTTTGTTATATAGAGCTTAAAGCACATTTTATGCGTTAAAGGCGTGAAGTATCACTCGTACCTGCGCCCCATCCTACTGGCACCGTCCCACTTACTGATGCCGTCATATTTACTTCATCGCTCTTGATGGTGGTTATTACTAAAAGACCATCTGGAATATGATTTAGCATACAGTGAGCTTTATTTGAGAAAGAAAGGCCTGCAAATGCTTAAAACAGCGCCTATTTTTCATTCATCATTTAAATGTTTAGGCAAAATTTGATAAGTATGATGCAAATGCCTACATCTACATGTATTTTTATTATATTACCTGTCACTGGTGGATTGACTACAACAATGGTGGTGGAAGGCCCATTTGGCATAGTGGCATCTGTAATAGTTGAAAGTAGTTAAAACGTGGTTTGCTTTATTGCAGCACCACACTTTTTAAATCTTCAGAAACAACAGTGCCAGATGACCTTGAGCTATTCTTTAGGCTTGAAACGACAGAGTGAGGCCGGGTGGATTTTGTCAACGTTTCCTTTACAAAACAACAACGGTGATATTAATAATAAGAGGCAACGGATCTCATGTATCCGTACCTCTTCCTGCCCCATACCTTGTTACTGGTGATTGAATCGCAAAAATCATTTAATTAATCTTCAATGTCTACTTTGTACGTGTTTAAATGAGTAGAAAAATTGAAAAATTAAAATATATCAATATCCTTGAATCTAAAATCCGTTGCATTAGTAATTCGGGATAACTGCTCAACTGCAAAACGCGCTGTCCATCTTTTTACAGCTATTTCAGATTCCAGTTTTATTTCATTTCTCAGAATGCATTTTTTACTTCTATCCGAGTACTTAGATAAGTTTAAATTGCAGGATAATGACCTACCTAGTGGATATTCACAGATATATGGCAGTGTCTCGCTGCAATCTTTCATCAACCAGCTTCTGGTGACGTCACTTGCAGCTCCTTCCAGTGCAAGACACGCTGGTCCTGCTTGATATGGTGGATACATGATCGGTCTCCAAAACATCAGGTTAATGGGGCCATCTGTCGTAATACCATATATATACACATTAATATAATTCATCTTTATTTAGGATGTTAAAATGTGACAGAGACTCACTGGTGTTCGTTTACATTAAAACAAAAATGTAAATCCCTTGTCACACTGGGCTTACGTTCGCTTGGAAAACGTTTTTTCTGCCCACTCTCACAATCTTCAAAGGAGTGGCTTTGGCAAGATTTTTAAAATAGTTAATTTCAAATTCATACGTCCGTGCTAATGAACTTAAAGTATATCTAATATTCGACTATTTGACATAAAAAAAATAAAAGTAATAAACGAATATCTACTAGAAAATAAAGAACGACATGAAATGAAGTAGATGGGGTTCCATCTACAGATAAAATGGCTAAGAAGCATTCATTTTTTATTTCCGCACTGCTGGCCTTCATGTGCACTTACCGTTCACCCATCTCCATTCACTGTGAACCAATCCGATCCAATAATACCGCGGCCCACTGTTATTGTTTAGCCTATTTTCCACGTTTTTCTGCACTGTGTCGTTGTCTATCTTAAGAAGTTTTCCTCCAGCTTCTCTGCATAACCTATGACCCTCAAACCAGGTGACTCTTTCAGGTTGAACACTGATGAAAATACATGCCTCGTCCTTTATGTCTGTCCATCTACTGTTGTTTTGAACCCAGTGGAAACTATGTTTACCTTGGCATACTTGGCTTTTCTGGTCTGGAAATGTAGATATAATTAAGGCAGGATATACGCCCATGATCACATCAAAGAAAACATTTTTGTTTAATTTTTTTTTTGCTCGTATACCTGTACTACTAAGTAAGAAAGGACCATTACACATGTTTTGCCTATTCTGCTGTGCATTTTAGAAATCGGATCCATCAGTGACTCGAAATTAAAAATTGGTAATTTCATTTTTCATCATGAATTAAATAGGCCCTATGCCACAGTGGCAGCATTACCTGCTTCACAAATGACACCAGATTCCTGTGTCTGTAAGTATTCTCTGTCCAGCCAAGGAAACCTCTCTGTCGTGTTTCTCAACCTCATTAGAGCTACTGCAGGCTGGAACTTGAGTCCATTATTGGTATCTGGTTGTTGTCCTATATAAGGAAATACCCGTGGGCCGCTCCAGTGTGTATATGTTGTTGCTGAAGAAGATATGTAAAGTTTCAGACAGGTAATTGCGAGCAAAATGTCAGAATCAAAGAGAGAGGGTGTAAAGGGGAGATAGAATGGGTAGTAGATTTCATGAAAATTAATTTCCTATACATACCAGTTAACGCACCCTCCTGGTCTATCCACATCCAGTCTGTTAAATTCACCTCCTTGCCGCCCAGCCAAACCTTTGATGATGTCAGTTTATGCAGAAATATTTGAGTGTCTCTGTCCCTGATGACAGCCAATCTACCGTTGCAAATATTGTTACAATGATCCAAGGCATTATGCCACATCATTCCTTCAGTGTTCACAAAGTAACATGTTCCATTACGACAACCTGAAAGGCATCACGTTTATCAAGACATACAGCGTGACTGCACCAGGAACCTCAAAACTAAGTTTTTACTATCTATCTCTGTTTATTGCCATGTTTATCGAGCACCTGTTTTAGGACACACTTTTATTTAGCACACTGCTTTAGCAAGGAGAAGGCTTGTATCCAAGAAGACACCCATGTTTCACAACAAAACTGAAGGAGCTAGAAACTACTTGCGCTGTACTTACTGCTTCCTGCTACATTACAACTGTTTACACTTTCCAGGAGTAGCATTGCTATCAGCAGCACGGGCAGCGTTGTCACTGTATAGCCAACCTTGTGACATAAAGTTACTCCTGCCATCTTGAGTTCGGCCACAACAGAGCCCAGGTATTCATGATTTTTTTTTCACCCCCAATGAATGACTCACCTGAATCAGAATAAACATCAAGCACTGCCTTCTTTTCTTCTTTTATTTGTATTTCGGTTGTAAAAACGTAATAAATCACTTCCGCATATTTCCTCTGTGGACGATCACAGTACGTGTTGTTTCAGGTGTACGGGGTGCCTCCATGTATAACGAGGATACACGTAGGTGACACTTTATAGTAAGAGTATTGCTTTAATAATGAAAACCAAATCGTATTCATCTTAATCTTGGACAGAAGCATGATTATCTTTGGTAATAGCTTGTTACAAACGGTGAAAATCTACAATTTGAACATCTTTTTTGGAGCCTCTCTATTTTAATGTCGTCTAAAATAATTAATGCCATCCGTTAATCCTAGCACAAAGAGACTTAACCTATGTATTATGACGTACTTTTGGAGTCTCTCTCTCTACTCTCTCTTATGTACCATACATGCTCTATCGCACGCTATGCCTCTCTTACATGTACACACACACACACACATCACAAACATCACAAACATCAATTAATTTTTAATGACATGTAAAACAATGAATCAGCAATAGCCAAGACCCAATTTGTGGCTAAGATAATCGTGGTAATCGGGGCCCTGTGGGCGATCACCAGTTTAATTGACAGTGTGTCGAATCGCGGGGAAATGCGATGGTTATGCCCATCAATAGCATCTGGTTACACTACCAAGTCTTAGTCAGTTAACGAAGCAAACGTATCGGGTCGTTTGAAATTTTAAAAACGATTTATCTATTGAGGAAATTGTGAAACCAATATTAAACTTCGTGCAAAATATGTAGAATATGATCAGAAAGTTAGCTGTAGTTGATATGGTTTACATATAGTGTTTAACCAAACAAATAAAACTCAGGCAGCAAAGGCAGTCAGCTGTTTAACAACAGATAAGAAGGCTGTTAAACAATGGAGCACCCATCGGGCTGATAGGTTATATCACAGAAAAATTGAAGCTATACAGAATTTTATGCTTCCCAGCTATATGTATGGCAGCATGTTTATGAAAAAGCAAAATAATAATTATAAAAATAAAAGCAATTAAAACAGCAGACCTAATTCCGAAGCATTTTACGTTATACATAGAGTAGTAGTGAAAAAGATCTGTTTATGAAAGTAAAAGAAAACGATGAACGGGAAATGTCGAAAAGGCGCAACAATATAAATGAATGATGATTAAAAATACACAAAAATACTTCCAAAGATTGTAAAACATCACAGAGAAAAGTTGTGAGATTATCATGAATAAATAAAATTACTCTGCGTTAACCACAAACAAAAATAAAACATTGTTATACGGAAGTCCGACCGTGAATTAATTGCATAGCATCTCCTACTAATATTGCTGATTTTCATGTGGAAAATGTTAAGTATGGCTCAAAAACAATTTGCTGCTCTGCTTACACCCGTACAAATTATTTTCAGTCATCTCTGTTGTATCACAAATGATTTTAAATCATCTCTATTGTATCACCTATGTATCAACTTTCTTGTTATTGTCTATAATTACTTCCTTTTTTTCTTTCTTTCTTTTTGTGATATGAGGTGGATATGTCTTTTCTTCTTCATTTATCTCACTACCAGTGGCTTTATCGCTAGACAGAGGTTCATATCCTAGTAAGTGCCGAGGGGGGCGTGGAGATCTTCTATATTATCAGGGGCGGATCCAGAGATATTTTGTGACAGTCAGTCTTCCAAATTATCTTTGTTGACCCATTCTCCATTTTTGACCGTCTTCTGAGAGAAAAATTTGATACTCGTCAATGTAACTTGAAAATCTGACCGTCTTCTGGAAGACCCAGAAGACGGCCTCAATCCGCCCCTGATTATAGTAGGTGCCAAATCTCTGTGCGAAATCTTCGATTACTTGTGAATCGCTTGCACCAGTTGCAGGGCTTAGACGTCGCCGTTTGTGTCTGCGACAATGGGGAAATTTGTATAAACAGCATCATTGCCATTTGTACCTTGAAACATGGGGTTATCGTAAGTGACGTCATTGATGTCAACGGATTCTGATTGTGATGATGCTTGTTCGTGTTGTGAGTCAGGAGATGTCGTATTATTGACCAATCCCTGGTAACAAGGGTCACTTTGTCTTCTTAGTCTTTCGTAATTCATACCGCCTTCTACCGCAACGGTATCGTAGTAAGTCCCGTTAATGTTGTCGGCATGGTCAACAGAGGCTTTGGTGGTGTGTTTCCAAGGTTTCCTTGAAACAAAATTTTAACATCGTTTAAATCTGTATAAACCAAATAAACGTTAAGTAAGCATAGCAGTTGAAAGGCATCTAAGAATTTGACATTCTATACAACACATTTCGACGCTGTTCCAAGGGATTGTTTGAATATTAAATCCAAAAATGCCTTAAAGGTACGAAGTTAGGATAAGGCAGATATTAAAAACCAAAACACTAACCTTTTATGCTTAGGAGTTTAAATAGTAATGATGGATTCAATAAGGGCTGATTACTGTAATTATACAACGTACAGGTATATCACAAAAAGTACTTGCTTACTTTCTCCAAAGAACGACGCCGACAATAATTAAGATGGTCACTATTGAACATCCGCCAAGTGTTACTTCTACTATTAAAGCTGAAATAGATAGTTAATTTATTTCATTTCATGTATTGGGGGGGGGGGGGGGGTCCTTGGTATACTGAATAGCCAATAGAAAGGTCTGGAAATGCTTGAAACAACGTCATTTTTTATTCATCGTTTTAATGTAAAAGCAAAATTTAATGGGAGGTATGATGCACTTTTTGTAATATTACCTGTCACTGCTGGATTGCCTGTGACAATCTTGGTGGAAGGCTCACTTGGCATAGTGGTAGCTATAAAGTATATAGGTACAAAGTAGTTAAAACTAGGTTTGCCGAATCACTCTGGGAAGTGAAATTCCCCAAATTTTCTAAATCGTCAGAGACAATATAATTAGATTAGATATTCTTAAGACTTGTAACGACAGAGTGAGGCAACGTGGACTAAGTCAACGTTTCTAGTCAACAGAACAACGGGAGTGATATTAATAATAAAAAATCCGTCGCATTCGTAATTCGGGGTAACTGATCAACAGCAAAACGCGCTGTCCATCTTTTTGTATATATATTTTAGATTTCAGTTTTGTTTCATTCCTCAGAATTTAGATAAGTTTAAATTGCAGGATAATGACCTACCTAGTGGATATTCACAGATATATGGCAGTGTCTCGCTGCAATCTTTCATCACCCAGCTTTTGGTGACGTCACTTGCAGCTTCTTCCAGTGCAAGACACGCCGTTCCTCCGTGATATTTTATATTCATCAATTTAATGTTAAAGAAAAAATTAATTAGAAGTATGATGCACATGCCAATATCTTCATGTATTTTTGTAATATTACCTGTCACTGGAGGATTGACTATCGCAATCGTGGTGGAAGGCCCACTTGGCATAGTGGCAGCTATATAAAGTAAAATGATTCAAATTAGGTAAAACGCGATTTGCTTACTCACTGCGGGAATCGTCAGAGACAACACTATTATATGAGCTACTCTTTAGGCCTGGAACGACAAAGACAGAGTAAGGCAATGTGGATTTTGTCAACATTTCATTCACAAAACAACAACAGTGATAATAATAAAATTCTCCTTCTGCACCATACTTTGTTACTATTACTTTATCGGTATTAGTGGTGGCTGTATCTCAATATAACATTTAAGATCAAGGTCTACCTTGTACGTGTTTGAACGTGTGGGTAGATTGAAAAGTAATTAAACGTTAAAGTTTATTAATATCCTTCAATCTATATTCCGTTGCATTAGTAATTCGGGATAATTGATCAACAGCAAAAAACGCCCTGTCCACCCTTTCGGCTATATTTCAGGATTTATTTTATTACCCAGAATGCATTTTCAATTTTATCCGAGAATTTAGATAAGTTTGAATTGCAGGATAATGACCTACCTAGTGGAAATTCACAGATATACGGCAGTGTCTCACTGCAATCTTTCATCAACCAGCTTCTGGTGACGTCACTTGCATTCCCTTCCAGTGCAAGACACGCTGGTCCTCTGTGATATGGTGGATACATGGTCGGTCTCCAAAACATCAAGTTAATGGGGTCATCTGTTGTAATAGCATAAACATTTATACAATTATATATTTCATCTTTATTTAGAATGTTAAAATGTGGATGAGACTCACTGGCGATCATCTTGAATTACATGTGTAAGTGAAAATATAAAGCCATTGTAACACTGGACTTACGACCGCTTGGAAAAGTTTTTCTGCCCCCTCTTGCTTTATTCAAAGGTGGGGGCTTAAACACGATTTAATAATTGATTTCAAATTCATACATCATGTATATGAACTTTAGATATATTTAATATTAGACACGTCTATTAGACATACACCAAAGTAAACTAATAAACAATTATCTACAAGAAAACAGAAAATGGCCAGAAAATATTCATCTTCAATATTCTCACTGCTAGCCTACATAAATACGCTTCCCTTACCGTCCACCCATCTCCATACACTGTGAACCAATCGGATCCAATAATACTGTGGCCCACTATTATTGTTTAGCCTATTATTCAACTGATTCTGTATTGTGCCGTTGTCTATCTTAATAAGTTTTCCTCCAGTTTCTCTGCATAACCTATGACCTTCAAACCAGGTGACTGTTTCAGATGGAACACTGATGAAAATACATGCCTCGTCCTTTATGTCTGTCCACCTGCTGTTGTTCTGAACCCAGTCGAAATTGTGATTACCTTTGCACACTTGGCTTTTCTGGTCTGGAAATGTAGCTATAATTAACACATGATATGTACACATCACATAAAAGAAAATATTTTTGTTTAACTATTTTTGCTCGTATACGTAATATTAAAGGATCATTACACACGTTTCGATTATTATGCTGGATATTTTAGAAATCAGATCTGTCAGCGACTCGAAATTAAAATTGGATAATTTCATTTTTCATGAATTAAATAGGTCCTATGTCACAGTGGCAGATTTACCTGCTTCACAAATAACACCGGATTCCTGTTTCTGCAAGTAGTCTTTGTCCACCCATGGAAACGTGTCTATAGCTACGAAGTTACCCGCCCTCATTAGAGCTACTGCAGGCTGGTACTTAAATCCATTATTGGTATCTGGTTGTTGTCCTATATTAGGAGATGTCTGTGGGCCGCTCCAGTGTGTATATGTTGTTGCTGAAAAAGAGATGTAAATGTATAGACTGGTGATTGCGAGCAAAAAGTCAAAACCAAAGAAAGAGTGCGTAATGGAGAAAAAGCTTGGTGGATTTCGTAAAAATATTTTACTATACATACCAGTTAATGCACCCTCCTGGTCTATCCACATCCAGTCTGTTAAATTCGCCTCCTTGCCACCCAACCAAACCTCTGATGATGTCAGTTTATGCAGAAATATTTGGGTGTTATTGTCCTTAACCACAGCCAGTCTACCGTTGCAAGTATTCTTACAATGTTCCATGGCGCTCTGCCACATCATTGCTTCAGTGTTCACATAGTAACATGTACCGTTACGACAACCTGAAAGATATCACGTTTACACAGATATACAGCGTTACTGCACCAGGTACCTCAAAACTAAGTTAATACTATCTATCTCTATTTATTGCCATGTTTACAGAACACCTGTTTTAGGACACAATTTTATTTAGGGCACTGTCTTAGCAAGGAGAAGGCGTGTGAAGGAGCTAGAAACTACTGCTATTGTGCTGTACTTACTGCTTCTTGCTACATTACAACTGTTTACACTTTCCAGGAGTAGCATTGCTATCAGCAGCACAGGCAACGTTGTCATTGTATAGCCAGTAGTGTTACACAAAGTTACTCCTGCCATGTTGGGTTCGGCTAAATCAGAGTCACGGTATTCATGATTTTTTCTTCCGCCTCCAAAGAATGACTCACCTGAATCAGAATAAAGATCAAGCACTGGGTACTTTTTTTTCTCTTTTATTTGCTTTGGTGGTAAAAAACGTAACAAACCAATTCTACGTACAGGGGCGGATCAGGATCATTTGAAGGGTTCCGCGGATGCGAAGCCCCCCCCCCCCCCTCCACACACACACACACAGACACACACACAAACACACACACTTGGCGTGGGGTTCGGGCCCCGCTGAATGGCCCCGAAAATGTGTGGTATTTTGGAAGGCGAACGGTGTAATTTGGTACGGTTTAGAACTATGATTCAGCTATTCAAATTCTAATTACAAGAGAGGACCAGAAATCGAAGGGGGGGGGGGGGGTTCAGGACTCCTCTGACTCCCCTCTTAATCCGCCACTGTACGTACTTCCGCTAAGGGCATCACAGTACACTTCCTTTCATGTTTAACGAGGACAGAAGGTGACACTAATAAAAGTATTAGTATTGCTTCAACAATGAAAACCAAATCGTATTCATCTTAATTTTGGACAGAAGCATGATTATCTTTGGTAATAGCTTATTAAAATCTGTAAAAATCTACAATTTGAACATTGAAGCTTACTTTTGGACTCTCTCTCTCTCTCTCTCTTTTCTCTCTCTAACTGCCATACATGCTCACACTCACACACACACACACACACACACGAATCGCAAACATGATCAATTGATTTTTTAATGTCGCCCGAAACAATGAATGCCATCCTTTATCCTGGCGCGTAGATACTTCACCTATGTCCTATATGACTCGTGTTTAATGTACCCTCTACCAGGGCGGCTGACTTTAGCCCAAAATGACCATCTATCTAGCTAGAGACATATCTCTGAATATCTGTAAAGATCTGTCAGTCGCCCTGGTAGAGGGTACTTTATTTGTCCCGAAAGGTGCAGGCAAAGACCGAGAAAACAGCGTGCACCATTCACGGAAAAGGGATCCACATTTATGCCTTGCCTATTCCTTTTTTTAAAATATCTAAATGAAAGAGTGCTGGATTCATTATAAAGTTATGCGATATATACTACGATCAAATATACAGGCGGAGAACCAAATATCAGACTATGATACGGATGTTTAGATAATGCTCGTGTGTAGGTTAATTTTTCAGAAAAAATTACAAGAGCCATTTACATGTATTTTTGTTTATCGCCAGGGTCTTCTGATTTTTCGGTAAATAAAATTGGCTTTAACACACACACACACACACACACACACACACACACATTTACCGGTATATCCTGGTTGGTGTTACGAGGGGAATCTTTAACCTTAACATCCAGACGTCATTGTAATCATTTTGACATTTTACTCGTTAACAGTAATATTGTTCATTTCCAATTGGCATTTCATCATCCTCCCTTTAATAGCAGTAAATGTTGCTTAATCACAGCCCAAATCAGATTCGATAGAGTAATCAGTTAACATAATTTGTTGGAAGCAATTTCACTGCTGTTTTGTTCTTCCTAAAAACGACCGTTTCCGAATAGGATTATTGTCTATTTTTTTTTTTTTTTTTTTTTTGGGGGG